TAAAAAATAAAAAAAAAAAAAGAACTAGACAAAAAATTAATTTTCTTTTATTAACACCGGAAAAATTCATTTATGTTAAATTAAAAATGATGTTTGTTTATAAATAAAATATCTCAATGTTGATATTTATTAGAAATAATTATGTAGGTTATTTTTTTTTTTCTATTATTGTCATTTTTTAAAATTATTTCTAATGATTTATGTAAGAATTCAAAAAATTTTTGATTTGTTTTTTTTTTTAAAGATACTAAAGAAAAATTATTTACATATATATATATATAAACTTTGTTATAAAAATATCTTATCCTCTTCATTGTAAAAACTCCAATGACAACGTCAGATTTATAGATAATTACATCGTTATTTATTTTCATTTAGGATTAAGTTTCTAAGTAGTGTTAATGAAATGTTCGAGTATTTATTTTAAATTTCTATTTAGTTATCTTGTCATCTGAATGCTCAACGATAAGTGATATGTATATTTACATTAAGAAAAAGTAGCAATTTCATTTAAGAGATTGTTTACACTTACATAACTCACAAAAAACTTTTTTTTTCTATGATATGAATGAATTGAACAATTAGAGCATTACACTCTCTATGGATGCGTTCTACTCAATGGAGTTTTTGAAGCGAAGAAAATCTCGAAGACTTCAATGAATAATTTTTTTTTTTTTTTTTTTTGAAATATCAAAGTAACGATGCTTAAAATAATTTACCATATAATACCGATAAGTAAATCGGCAATAGAAAGATTAAGAATAAAATAATTTGAATAAGTTCGTATAGTTGGTTCATATATAAATGCAATAATAACTAGAAAATTTCCCGATATAGTTAAAAATGCCATTGTTGACATTAAAAATGTAAGAATAAATTTTTCAATTGATGATAATATAACATTTGTATCTGTATGTTGTGTAGTAATTAAACTTTGATTTATATTTGTATTTGTTTGATTTATTTGTGATGTTATTGTTGATGATGAAAAAAATGATTGATATATTGAATTTATATCATTTGTTGTATCATTTAAAAAAAGATCAGCAGTTAATAAAAAATTATTATAATCAAAACGTGAGCCTATTTTATCGGCATTTGTTAAAGAAATCCATGTTTGATTCATTGCAAAACATTGTCATTCATATTTATATAAAATAAAATAACATATATCCATAGAACAATATATATATATATATAGTAATCTACAAGCGAAAAAAAGAATAAGCCAGTATATATAATAGATATACAAAACAATGACACCAAGTTCAGCGTTTTCAAGTTATCCCCGAGTGGAAAGGAAGAGGAAAAGAAGACACGAGCATAGAGAAATTGGAGTCTCAATTATTAACATTAGTAGAAAGAGAAGAAGACGAAGAAAAAAAAGAGAAAAATCAGACTTTTTTTTTTCTTAGGTTTTTTTTCTCGTACTACTGTTTTTATCTTAGTCTATTAATAAAAATAATATATCAAGATCAGTACAAAACGGAACTGAACTATTAACACATCATATAGAAAATGTCATCAACTAAATGAAATATAGATACTCTACTTAATTAGGGATTTTCAACTATTATTAGAAACTTAGCTAGAAATCTTGTTCAAAGAATAAGTTGATTTTAATATTATATAAAACTTTGTAAAAGAAAAAAAATCACCGCATATAACTAATATTAAATACTTTTTTTTTTTTTTTTTTGCGAACGTACTCAAGTTGTTATGTATGTTTCAAACACAATAGAAAAAGCAAGTGAATCATAGGAAGCGATTTTGTTATTTATCATGCATGAGCAACATATTGCTTTTATTGAATTGTTCCAGTTCAGTAATTTATTTGACTTTTCATAAAATGTCACATTAATTCATTCCAAATCGAATATGTCTATTAGGAATTTCGAATAACATCGATCATACATACGTGCTAAAATAGTTTGACATTAGAAAAACAAAAAAACAAAGGATAATCAACATAGTTAGTCAAACAAACAGATAATCATAAATATAAGTACTATTCTTGTCACCATTACTATGATGGTCATTTTCATTGCGTACTTGTTGTCAATATGTTATTATCATTATTTGATTTTAACACATTTTGTTATTGGTCGATCCACTTGATACTAATTTTTTTTTTCTCTAGTTATATGAATACATCCGTAATCAACGTGATTAGACTTGCTATTCCCTCAACACTACTATGCATACATAGGAAAATAGAACTAGACAACATACAAAAAAAAAAAAAAAAAAAAAACTCGAGTGCGAATTGGGAATATGAAAGTTATCTATGCTTTTGTCTTTTGCTTACTTGACTAGGAAAGCAGAAAACTAACATACGTAATAATAACAACTGTGTGCAAGAAAAGAAAAAAAAGAAATATATATATATAATATATTTTCTTCATTATTTTTAATAGTATCATCATAATATGGCTATAGCAAAAGTGGGAAAAAATGTCTTTTGAGCACCAAAAAAAAAAAGGACAAATGAGCACCGAATTAGTTAAGTGTGAAAAGAGCACCGAAAAATAAGACAATTAAGCACCAAATAAAAACAAGATATTAAAGAGATACATCAATTCTATTTTAAAAGAATCAAAGTATTATTCGAGTATATACAGATGCTAAGTTATGACAAACTCAACTTAAATTGTATAATCTCATTCCTTTTTATTTTTTATAAATTATGGTACGCAAATGAGTAACGCTGTATATATACGATAAGTTTGAGAATTATAATAATACATATTTCTATGAAGAACCATAAAATGCCAAACAAAGAATGTTAACATTTGAATAACGTCCAAACACTTAATAAAGCTAATCAAGGGTGTGAGTGTGGATATGGATGCATGAGTAGATCCTCTCCTTAGACCAAGACTTACATCCTGCTTGCTAGTTTCTCCACTCAAATCACGTACATGTCTAACTGGTACGAAGTTATATTTATGAAAACATTCAGTTGGCTTTGGAATATTACTAAAACATTAACTCGTTCGGAGCTTTTAGGTAAACGATGAGCAAAAGGTCGAGCAAAAAAAGCACGATCTGCTTTATCATTATAAAATGGACTTTTCATTTTTTTTTTTGTATATTGATTTAGTACTCATATTTATTAGGTATCTTATTTGTTATTTTTTGTTATTAATATAAAAATTTTTTGTTCTTATTTCACATGTTTGAATTTAGTGGTCAATTGTCTTATTTTTCAGTGCTTTTTTCACACGTAACTAATTTGGTGTTCACTTGTCTTATTTCCCAGTGCTCTTTTCACATATAACTAATTAGGTGCTCCATTGTCTTTGTTTTTCTGTGCTCAAAAGACATATTGCCCGTAAAAAGTGCAAGTATTCATAGAAATAGTGATAAGGAAAAAAACAATTTAATGAGATTCTTTCGAATTATTGAAGCATGATATATTGAAATATAACTGTAAACTAAGTTTTGTCGTCTTTTCAATGCTGATTATATATTGTGAAGAGGTTTTATGTCATAGAGATAAGAAAAAATTCTAATTAGGGTTTCTTTTTTGCTTTTTTTTTACCTGTTTTGATAAAATTGATTATTATTTATATACAAAAAAAGAACATATTGCTATTGTCATTGTTATTGTTTATAAAAAAAAAAATCTATCAATGATTATTATCAACATTTATTGTCTTTATATTGGCATGACTATAACTGAGTTCATCTTCTTTCTGTTTTTTTTTCTGTCGTCAAATAAAAAAGATGAGTAGGAAACGCAAACTAACAAACAGATAGAAAAGGAAAGGTCTCAAAGTAAATGACTGCAAGAAATAGCCTGAATGTCTTTATAAGAGTATGTGCGTATGTGTCAATAAATGACCCTATATAAAATAATAGTATACAAGAGTGTGCTTGGTAAAATTATGAGGACAAAAAATATTGGTCTTTCTGGTCTTTTTGTTTTGTTTTTTTTCATTATTCAATTCAATATGATAGTGGCATGAAAGAAAGAGAAACAATGCAAAAGAGTCTTAGCATGTTTAGAAAAGAGCTATTAAAGCATCCGAATAGATCTTGACGATAACTGAAGTAATGAGACGTTTATATAAAAGAAAAAAAAAATGTTTGTTGACTATGCATGTGAATAATTTAAGTAATATCTGTTTTTGTAATTACAAACTATTATTTGTTTGCTTTGAATATAATCGATAAAGATATATTTTTATTTATCTTCTATCAAACAAAAATTTAAGATTCATCTGTTAAGCAATTGAAGGAATTTATAATGGCCGATTAGGAAAAAGAAGCGATTAAATACTACCAAACATATTGTTTAGTCTGTAAATATTTCTATAGCAAGAAAAAAAAAAAAGAAAATAAATTGATCAATGAGAAAAATACTGTTCAGTGAAGCCAGATCCATCATAATTAGAATTTGTAAAATTATTGTTCTAAGTAACAATTATTCCCTTGATAAAAACAAAACAAAATTGAATTCTAACTGCTAAAAAGTAGAATGTTGTCAACATCGAATAAGAGAAAAAAAAAATGAAAAAAATGATGATTGAGAAGGCGAAAGAAGAGGAATAACAAGTGGTTTATTCTTTAGTTAATCTTTGACGTCAATAACATCATTTTGATCGGGTACAGCTTTCCTTCTTTTTTTTCCCCAGACTACAATCATTTGTCCGTTTGTGCTTTTTATTTAGTAGGTAGTGACGCATCCTACAGACTTAGTTTCTTCCTATTCATTTTTTTTTTGGCTGAGAAGCATAGGAATATTTTTCTACAAAGATAATAAAAAACACACTAATTGGAATAAAGTCGTGTTACAAATAAGTTTACAACGATGTATTAATTTGACTCTATTGTATGATGCATCCAGTAGGGTCTTATGATAATCTGATGGTTTTAAAAAATATGACAGTATAAAAAAAGAATGTTCGACAAGAGAAAGAAGACGACAAAAAAACAAAAAAAGAGAACGAACATAAGAAAATAGAATTAAACATTATCGTCATCGTTGACAAGACATGGTTAAAAACTGACAGCAAACAAATGTAAACATCTTCTCAATTCATTATTTATTGATTGATTATATTGTTCATTCAACTAAATAAATAAAGAAACAAGATTTTTTCTGATCATCATTCTATTTCACCTTTTTTTTGTTTTTTTTTCTTTCTAGCTTGAAACACAAATACCACCTATTGTAGAACGTTCATCTCAAAATTGGGTTTGGCTCATTGGTCTTAGTATTACTGCAGGAGTTACTCTTTTAATTATTCTTGTCGGTGTTCTCTGGTGTGTAAGTATCCTATTTTCGATTTGAAAAAACAGGAAAACAACTACGAATAAATAATTGATTACCTGATTTTTTTTTTCTCATGAATTGTTATATTCAGTGAGTATTGTTAATAACCTTAAATATTGATTACAGTGTTAAATAATAATATAAATACATAAAACGACAAAAATAAAAACGAGCATTAACAATAAGAGCAGTAGTAATGGTATAAGCGGTTGTCAACAAGATGGTCTTTTGACTATATAAACTTCAATCTCTTCTCGTTATATGCGTTCTGTCATAATCCGTTTTCTCTTTTTCTTATCATCTTGTGAGATGTCTATTTGTTTGTCTTTGGCTAAAAACTAACTCAATATAATAGTGGTACTAGAAAAGAAACGTTTGTCTGAATAGTAAAAATAGTAAAACATGCAGCAGTTGATCGAAGAAAATGATAAAAAATATGATAGTTTTTTTTTTTTATAAGTAGTTCAATCGACTTTAGCGAGGAATACACATATTTCGACGACAATTGTTGTTTATTTATGAACGGCTTAAAAAGCTCAATTAGCCGAAAACTGTATTTCCTTTCCTTCTTTTTCCAACTCAAAAAATCATAATTTCTCAGCGAAATATTTTGATCAACAAATGCTTTTAAAAAATAAAGAAAGAAATATACTACAAACAAGAGACACTTGTGCAATTTACTATGAAGACATTTAAAAAACATTATCATTGATCTAAAAATAGAGCTAAATATTTAGTTTTTTTTTTTTTCTTTTCTATGTAATATGACCAATCAGAAAGTTTTTTTTTTGTTATTTACGTGTTTCTTGCAATGTCTTCAATATATAGTCTGATTTTCTTGTTGTATTTCTTTAAGTAATCTACTTAGCTATTTGGTATTGAAAGTGTAAGAAAGAGAAAAAAAAAACAACATTATTTATTGATATACTATGAATGATTACTGAAATATTGAAGCTAAAGTTCATTGCTTGAAGAAAAAAACAATACCCATAATGTAGTAGTTGTTTAATATGTATCTTATCAAATAGACAATATTGACTAGAGACAATTTATCAACTAGATCCTTTCCTTAAGTAATATGCATCTTGATCTTTTCTCAATGGCACATATCATTTTCAAGTTAATCATCATTAACAAATATAAATAGAAGAAAAAGTATTTTGCTTTTGTTTGATTAGCTGTTATTTATTATATATTAGAAACCAAAAGAGATCGATATTATGAAATGAATATATTTTTTTTGAAGAAAAAAACAAATGTTTTTAATTAGAGAAAATATTTATTTTAGTGTGGATTTTTTAAACGATATCGTCCAGATTATCCTATATCGACTAAAGTCGATTCAACAATATCTGAAGGTCATTATTGTCTAACATCATCACCAAAATTAGGTCAATATCGATTAAATGATGATAATGAAGAAACATTAAGTGACATTGATGATAATCAAATAATGATACAAAATCCGGTCGATAGTTTACCTATCGTTATACCACAACATTCATCTCATTTTATTCAACAACAACAATTGAAACGATCTCAATTTTCTAATTAAACAAAATTTAAAAATACTAATCTTGTTTGTCTGTTTGTTTGTTTGTTTTTTTCTATTTCAATTTATAAATTTTTTTTTTTAATGTATAAGTGGTTGTTTTTTTTCTTTGTCTATTTT